TAGTAAGACCTCACCTCTACAACAAATAAAAACGGGCAACCCCTTTGGGTCCCCTCCCACTGTGGGTGCTTCTCTGTCCTTTCAATAAATCCTGCCTTCTCAAAAAATAAATGTAAAAATAAAAACATTAGCCAGGCATGGTGGCGCACAACTAGAGTCACAGTTGCTTGGGAGGCTAAGGCAGGAGGATTGACTGAGCCCAGATCAAGGCTGCAGTGAGTGGAGATCATGCCACAGCATTCAAGCCTGGGCAACAGGGTAAAACTCGGACTCAAAACAATCAAAAGTATATAATTAAATAAAATGCCTTTATATAGGCCAGGCATGGTGATTCATACCTGTAATCCCAACACTTCGGGCAGCCCAAGGTGGGAGGATTGCTTGAGCCCAGGAGTTTGAGAGACCAGCGTGGGCAGAATAGTGAGACCCTGTCTCTACAAAAAAAAATTTAAAAATTAGCCAGGTGTGATGGCACACTCCTGTAGTCCCAGCTACTCGGGAGGCTGAGGCAAGAGGATCACCTGAGCCCAGGAGATCAAGGCTGTGGTGAGCCATGATTGTGCCACTGCACTCCAGCCTGGGCAACAGAGTGAGACTCTGACTCCAAAAAAAAAAAAAAAAAAAAAATTAAAACTCAGGCCTTTCTGTGCTTCTGCCAGTATACTTTGTCCAGTTTTTCACCATGTTCTCACCAGGAAATCTGTTTTCAGAATGATCTGACCAACACACAAGCCAAGGGACATGCTGAGAGGTTTCCCGAGGGCGCTTTCAGCCACGTTAATTCTGTGCCTCTCCATTCCAGCCTTCCAAAGTGGGGCCTTGATGGCTTCGAATGGGGGCTTTGGGTGGAAGGTTTTCACTACACTCCCCACATTCTCTCCCTTATTGAAAGCCACCCAGGAATTTTTTTTTGTGTGTGTGTGTGTGTGACAGGTCTTCTCTCCGTCACCCAGACTGGAATGTAATGGCATGGTCTTAGCTCACCACAGTCTCCAACTCCTAGGCTCAAGTGATCTTCCCACCTCGGCCTCCCAAGTGCTGGGATTACAGGCCTGAGCCACTGTGCCTGGCCAACCACCCCAAGAATTTTAAAGGCCAAGTACTTGTTGGTACTTAGTTTGGAGACTCCTACCCCTCAGTATGAGCCAATGAGAATTGCCATGGTGGCTGTGCACTCTACTTCACCTTCCCGAGCAGTACCATAGAGGGAGGACTAGAAGCCCAAAACCAGCCAATTCTTTACAGATCACAGTGGCATTGAAGCAACATTCCTTCATCTGCTTTTGTCTTTATCACAATATTAAGACACATTTCTGCAGAAGGTATTTGGTACTGGAATGAAGTGCTATAACTTCTCTAGAGAACACATTTGTTTTCAGGTTCTTTTTTTTTTTTTTTTTTTTTTTTGAGTTGGAGTCTCACTCTGTCACCCAGACTGGAGTGCAGTGGCCGCTCCCGGCCACCGCAGTCTCGACCTGCTGGGCTCCGGCGATCCTTCCACCTCAGCTGTCCAAGTAGCTGAAACTACAGGCGCGTGCTACCATGCCTGGCTCATTTTGATTTATTGTATCTCGAGATGAGGTCTCGCCAAGTTGCCCAGATGGGTCTTGAACCCACAGGCTCAGGCAATCCACTCACCTCAGCCTCCCAAAGGCGCGGGATTATAGGCTGAGCCACCGAGCCCGACTTTGTTTTCAGGTTCTTTATCTGAGTCTTCCTTTCAAAACTGAAGAGCCCAGGCATAGTGGTTCACGCCTGTAATCCCAAAACTTTGGGAGGCTGAGGCAGGAGGACAGCTTGAGCCCTTAAGTTCAAGACCAGCATGGGCAACATAGTGAGACCCCATCTTTACAAAAATTAGAAAAACGTCTGTAGTCCCAGCTACTCAGGAGGCTGAGGTGGAAGAATTGCCTGAGCCCAGGAGTTGGAGGCTGTGGTGAGCCATGATTGTGCCACTGGACTCCAGCCTGGGTGACAGAGTGAGATCTTGACTCGGAGGGGAAAGCAATCAGCCATGTTAAAGCACATGCTGTTATAGAAACCAAGAGAAAGTTTATCAGGAACACAGCAGTTGGTGTTGATTTTGCCCAAGTGTCAATTTAAGACAGTAGAAGTGCCCATTGAATCTGCAGGTAGGCTGTGACCTGGGTCATAGCAGTTTCTGTAAAATGGTGGTGGGTGGTGGAGAAAGTTAAACAAAAACCCATGTAGCATGATGTTGGAATAACCAGTTTCCTGAGTCCACGATAGAACGTATCTTCGAGACTGAAAAGATCAAGGAAAGTTGTGTCTTCAACCAGAACTGTTTTAAGAAAAAAAAGACTTGTATCTGTCTGAAGCCAGGTTCTTGACAACTCTTCAGGTTTATCATTCTCAGGAGCCAAGATGAGGCATTAAGGCCAGAGAGAAAACTCCAGCTGACTCAGCATTGAGCATCACAACATACCAGACTGCTCCATCTCCAAGTCCCTGTGTTGTGGGAGATAAGAATCTATCCCATAGGTTTAAAAAAATCATCTTTCTTGAAAAATATGTCGGGAGAAGCTCATATAGCCTATGAATGCAAATTGTGAAAGTCTTGAACTTTCCTCCAAAAGGAACTTTAACAAGCGGTTGTAAGTCATTTGTGGTAAATACTAGGAACCGCTTGACAATCTGAAGTTTTCTACTTAAATCTCCCGTTTACACTTGTTGCTGTGCTCATCTTGCAATCTTGCAAAGCCACTGCCTGACCCTCTTCCCATTCAACCCGAGGATACTCGCTGGCGGTGCTTATGGCTGCAGCCTTTACCCAGAGAAAAAGGAGAACTACAAAGTATAGTGATTATCTTTTAAGTAATTCTTGTTAGGGTCAGAGACAAGTTTTGTCTAGAAATATCTCCAAGAACAGTTTTTATATCTTATTTTCATATTGAAAACCAGCTTCAAAGTGCATATCTATGTAAGGATTAAATAACGTGGCAGCAAGCTTCATTTTTTGCTCAACAGGAAAAGGGTTATATCAACTAAGAACAAAAACAGTAGTAAGAACATGTCCCGAATTCATGGCTCTTATCATTTCCAAATTCGTAAAAAATGATTTGCAAATTGAAGTCCTGGGGAAATTATATGCAAGAGCTAAGAACAGCAGATAGGGAAGAGACCACTCAGCATCGGGCTGCTAACAATGCCGGGCTAGCGTTTTAGCACAGGATGGGACATCAAGGTGTTTCCTGCAAGAGTTAGGAATCTTTTTTCAGAAGTTGTTGTGTAATCACTCTGGGAGGTGAAAATTTTTTCATTTTAAACACAGCAAAATGATCACAAGAACGACTTGATATCACTAAGGTAAATAATTTGTAACTCTATTCACGTCATTTACCAAGATAGTACCCATGATTGACAGCATAGACTTTTGAGTCAGATGGGACTGTGCCAAGTGTTGTTTCTAACAATTTCTTGCTAACAGCATCCCTCCATAAAATGACAAGCTGAGACCCCATTTCTCCTCTTATTGTAGCAACATTTGTGTCAAGTTTGTTTCGGTAATGTGCTTACTAATAACTAAGGAAATAACAGTCGATCAACGAAAAGCATCTCTTAACTGTGGAAGACCAATAGTTTATTACTAGACCACAGTTGATGAAAGTAAGTGATGCTTCTTCCCCCTAGCAAAGAAGCTTCAGGACACCATGACAAGTGTTTGAAGAATCAGTCAGGAAGATCAAACTGCATGTTTAAGGCACTGGCATTACTTGACTTTTTAAGTAACAAAGGAAGACATAATAAATTGACTTAGTTCTCTATTAAGTTTTTCTTCTCTTTACTTGCAAGATAACTTTAATAATTAATAGCTGAAACTTGTGACTTGGAAATAGATCTGTACTCCAGTGAAATACACTTAATCTTTTAAAATTATGCACCCAAAGTTTCTGTTGTTTAAAAAAAAAAAGCAGCTTTGCATAACTGTAACAAGTTGTCATTTTCTGGTTTTCTTTTTTTTTAGAGTTGGAGTCTCACTCTGGTGCCCAGACTGGAGTGCAGTGGCATGCTCCTGGCCACCGCAGCCTCAACCTGCTGGGCTCCGGCCATCCTTCCGCCTCAGCCTTCCAAGTAGCTGGAACTATAGGCACGCACTACCACGCCCGGCTAATTTTTGATTTATTGTAGAGACGAGATCTCGCCAAATTCCCCGGGCAGGTCTCGAACCCGCGAGCTTAGGCAATCCTCTCGCCTTGGCCTCCCAAAATGCTGGGATTACAGGCTGAGCCACCGAGCCCACCCATTTTCTAGTTTTCTATTCAATATAGCCTTGCTTTTGGGACCACAATTAAAATTTACTGAGGAAAAAGTAAGCAGCATATAGTGCATGCTAGATTCTCAGTTAACACATGCACGACTGGCAAATTATTCACTTTTCCTAATACTGAGTGGGGAAAAATAAAAATCTGAAGCTGGTTGCCACAAACTTCTGTCGTTAAGCACAAGTGAAATGATCTTTTCTAACTTGTCACCTTTTTCACAATACAACCCAAAGTTGCAGACATATCCAGTATTTAAATGCCTCAGACACTGCTCTGACTAGCATTCCATACTTTGTATTTTTATTTAGATTATAAACCTGAAAAGACAGTCTTCCACAATGAGGTAAATTCATGTCAGCAGCAACCAGGAACAGAATTTGGAATGTCGTAAATCACGTCAGCCGTCACAAATGAGTTAAGTGTATAATACTTAAAGTAGCATCCTTTCCTGGATCAAGATGGGGCTTTATTCATATTTGAAAATAAATTCTTCAGTAAGTTCTAAATCTTCACTTTAAGTGAGGGTATGTGGAATTGTCTGTTTTCATCTCCCTGAAATAATCTGATCACATCTAAGACAAAAAGTTTTGATAAGGTGCTGTCTGATGGTCTCTGGCCAACTATTTACTTAGGAACCACCACTCAACTCAAACTGGTATTCCAAAGGGAGTAATAAAAACAAAAAACAAAAACCAAGAAACATACAACTAATACAACTTTCTCTTACTCTTCACTTTTTATTATTCAAAAGTCAAATATGTTATTTTTAAATCATCCATCCTCAATTTTGATTTAATGTACCGTCATTTCCCCAAGATATGAAATTTCAGAATCTCTTTGGAATACTAATTTCATGTTTCTAGGTTTAACAAAACTGTTGAAGTTTTAAATTCCACTCTATTTCCCTGAATTCTCAAGACAGTTGCTGATGTAAATTTTAATATAAAATATTTAGTCACAAAATAGTATTGCTTTTGTATGCACATAGTTGTAAGATTACTTTGCTTTTGTCAATAAAAACTATACCATCTTTCATAAAACTCTAAACAAAGTAAGAACGGTGGTGTAGAACAAAAATTACACATGGTAAAACAGGTACCGGCACAACGTCAGGTTATATTACATCAAAAAAGGTTTAATGGTCCCAAATATATATACTCAACAACTAAGCATACACTCAGGGGAGGAAAAAAATCAAAAACAAAGTGAAACAAAAAAGTATGACACAAATGACCACATCTAGAATTCCACTCAATCTTTAATCAAGCAGGGACAAATCCCCACTTAAAAAAAAATCTGCAGTTTGAAGGGCAAAGGGAACAGATAAAAAAGAGGAAACTGTATACTCGCCCTCCCCCAGAGGGTTTCCAAGCCTGTTACAGCTTGATTAAAATGTTCAGAAGGTTCGGCTTTCAAGGCAGGTCTCTTTAAACAAAGAAACTGCTGGCATTCTTAGCTAGGAAGAATCAGGGCACGGGGCCCATCTTCTGAGTCTCCAAAAGCTGTCTGCCCACGGCACCGACCTTCCGTCCCGAGTCCACTTAGAACCCTGCCCCGTTGGCTTTTTGTTTCCAGTTCCTTCCCTGAGAAAAGGGCAATGTGTGGTCCAGGCTGGAGAGCTCAGAGGCAAGTCCTCCCCTAGGTGCATGTCGGCCCCTCCTGCTCCGCTGTATTGGCACTTGATGAGCAGAAGTCGAGTGCGAGGCTGACTGCGTCAGTCATTCACAAGAGACCACTGCTTGTCGTGGACTTCATAGGGGGAGGGGCAGAGAACCAGTTTTTTCCAACAGGTACTGATCATAGGCAGTTGCCATTATTATGAATCAAATTTTGCTTTCTTTGACAATGGTAGCGTATCTTCCTTGTCTTCATCCTCATCATCATCTTCATCATCGTCAGGATAATCTACCAGACCCACGAGGCCTCCCTGGGCAGAAATAAGGATTATTTAAGGAACAGGAAACAAAACGCTACATCTAAATATATCCCTGTTTTAGGTCTGGAGATAGAAGATAGAGCCTATCCTGACAGGTTAACTGTGGCTGTTTCTGGATGGTGGGACTATATTCAACTGAAGTTAGTTATTTTTATGTAGTTCTTAAATTGTTCACAATAAACCTAAATTTTTTAATATTAAGGGAAAACTATGCCAAGTGTTGTGGCTCCCGCTTGTAATCCCAGCAGGAGGCCAAGGCAGGAAGATAGTTTGAGGCCAGTAGTTCGAGACCAGCTTGACAACAAAGAAAGACCCCCCTGTCTCTACCAAAAAATTTTTAAAAAGGGAAAACATTTAAGTTACGTAAAATTAAAACAACACATTTTCAGTAGTTTCTGTCTTCTAGCAAATCCCCTGGGAAACAAAAGTTCACACTGCTTGTCCTCAGCCTGCCACCATTCCAGTGCATCTCAGATTCACTTCTCAGCCTTTAGGGGTCTCCTGCTCAGATCAGAAGGAGAGACAAACAGGCAATAGATTCCAGACTGAGTCAGTGATTCCCAAATGCCAGTCTTCAACTGCTAGTCCAATAATCAATGTATTTTATGCCTCGAAAAGAAAAAAGGACAGTATAAGGCAGCCAAAATAAGCGGTTTTATTCTGACAGTATGTCTTTTTTACATTTTTGTCATTAAAATGTTGTACCTTTCTTATATGAGATGTTACTGATAGTAGATGATTACTTAAAAACAAATCTTAGTTGGCAAAGAAAAGTTAGGGGTATCCAGATATTTCATATATATATTTTTTGAGTTGGAGAGTCCTACTTTGTTATCTCAGCTGGAGTGCAATGGCATGATCACAGCTCATTGCAGCCTTTACCTCTAGGGCTCAGGCAATCCTTCTGCTTCAGCCTCCCAAGTAGCTGTAACTGTAGGTTACCATGCCCAGCTAATTTTTTTATTTTTGTAGACGAATTCTATGTTGCCCAGGCTGGTCTTGAACCCCTAGACTCAGGCAATCCTCCCGTCTCTGCCTCCACATCCCAAGTGTTGGGATGACAGGCATGAGCCAACTGTACCCAGCCAGTATTCAGATTACCCCTTTCCCCACAAAGTCTGTCTAGGTATTAATTGGGAAAACTAAAACTGTAAATGTTTTGACATATAAATCTAAAGCTGTAGTTCTGAAATGCAAAATACCAAATACAAATATATTTGGACTTTTGCCCTGGTCATAAAAACTTTAAAAATGTCCCAACTTTTCGTCAGCTCCATGTATGGTGGGCTCCCATCCTCTAGTTCACACATGTTAGGCCAACTCCACAAGGCAGCAGCAGAAGGGAATAGCAGTCCAGCAAACTGCTGAAGCTTCAATCAGGGAAAAAGGGAAAAGTGGGAGTCCTGGGCATAAGAGCCGTACCTTTGTAGTAATAGCTGCCGTCGGGGATGTACTTTTGGGGACGGATCCAGGAGAGCCGGGAGAGCCTGGGGACCCGGGTGAGCCTGGAGAGCCTGGCAGGCTTGCTGCTGAGGACTGGCTGGTGAGGTTCGTCTTGGTTCCACTGGACAGCGAAAGCTTAAAACTCGGGCTCTGCCGACCAGAAAGGTTCGTCTTCAGGAGCACCTCCTTCTCCTCACTCTCTTTTACTGAAAGTGAAAACAGTGTCAACAGCTGTCACTCACACGCTTGCTTTTGTAACTTCTCCAGATGAGGAGACACTAGACCACATTTAACTAGCTTACTATTTGCTAGATATTTCATATATATATATTTTTTTGAGTTGGAAGGTCTCACTTTGTTGCAATGGCATGATCACAGCTCATTGCAGCCTTTACTTCTAGGACTCAGAGGGCTCAGGCAATCCTTCTGCTTCAGCCTCCCGAGTAGCTGCGACTACAAGTGAGTCACCACGCCCAGCTAATTTTTTTATTTTTTGTAGACGAGTTCTATGTTGCCCAGGCAACAACTGAAATGAAGTTCAATTAATGAGTAACGCTTACCTTGCTCAATTCCATTATATCCACCGGATTTGACTCCAGAGAAGAAATGAACCCTCAGTACCACATTCAGTCTTCCCATCCTTCCTGAAACACTATTCCTCCTTACTTACTCAAGTTAAGTTAGTCTATGCCTTCACAACAGAGCTATTAATTCAGTCTCGACCTACCAAGCAACAGACTCTTTAATATCTACATCATCACACATTCCAAGTGGACACTAGCTCATCATTTTGTCAAGAATTAAAGAATAAACTAGAGTGAGAAGTCTTTGTTTTCTCTTGCCCATCTGTTCAACATACATTTCTTCCTCTCCATGAATTTACTGATTGGATCCATAATGTCATCATCATTTTTGGCTTTGTCAGATGGAGACACCACGGCCTCTCCATCTTCCATGTCATCCTCGTCTGTGTTGAACCACATTTCTTCCTCGTCTTCCAGGGTTCTGGCATCTCTTCGGTATCTGTGATTCCTCAAGATGGAACGCATGCTGCGAGTAAGAGAGTCAAAGAATCACAGAATAGCTGCATTTAGCTTCTCTTCAAGCACTGCTCCAAAATCAGATATCATCTTAAGAGGTTAATGTCAATAGACATGAATGAAAACCCAATTTTACCAAACACATACTCTGAAAAAAATCCCACCATTTCTAGTGTTAAAGAGTGAAATCAAATTTCATATTATCAAAATTGTTCTGCTACAGATCACTTAAACTTCTCAGCATTAGTAATTAACAAATAATAATCTACAAATTTTAAAATATACTATAAAGTATATTTTCTAGTGTTTAGAAAAAGACTTTTTAGAATCTGCAATCTTAATAATTGGTATTTTAAGCAAATTAGACACTATTCTGAGTTTATTCTGAACGCACAAGGCCTCATTCCCACATGTTTTTTATTATCTGGCTTCATACATGCCTGAGGGTCTGCAGATAACACTATGTCCTCCTACACTTCAAGGAAACATCTATGTTGACCATTACAGAAAACTGCAACTTCTTTTAACTATCTGCCTATGCCCCTCAACTCTGTCAAGCCAAATAACAACAAATAAACAAGCCACTACCACAAAGCTTGATGCTCAATGAATAGGTTCAAATATTTAGGACCTACCTATCAAGTTTGGGATTATCTTGCCTTTCTCTTTGTTGTTCAAATCTCAGTTTTAATCCTTTAAATGTCTGTACATAATCTACATCTTCCAGTGCTTTCCAGTAATTTTCAATTACGTGAGCAGTTAATGATTTTATATCTTCCTACAGAAAAGAATTGTAATGAAAAAAAGATAGAAAAATGTCATTCTAGTAAATGAGACTTAATTTAATGAAATCATAAGTCACCCAAAAAAGCTTAATTCCACAAAATTACATAATCTTAGAGATAATCAAACAATGGAAATGGGAATAACATACACTGACTACTGCAGTAGGCGCCAGTTTGTTTATGGCTTTCCAAAGTCAATGCCCAGGTCCCACCCAAGGTCTGATGTCATAGGTCTGCCATGGGACCAGGGCATGAATATGTTAAAGCAAGTCACAGAAAAGTTCTAGAGATGGATGGTGGTGATGGCAGCACAAGGGTGTGAATATGCACTTAGAAATAGTTAAAATGGAAAGTTTAATGTTATGTATATTTTACCATAATTTTGTAAAAAGCAAACAACATGCCACAGATAATTTCACATAGCACCAATGTTTGAGAGTCATGGCTCTCAAATCAAGAGTTTATTATGAAATTACACTCTAGAAACATATGAAAGTAGAGTTGCTTATCTGTCAACTCTAGTTTTACTTTCTTAAAATGATTAGCATGACAGTGTTAAGTCAGTTTTCAAGTCATCCTATAAAGGAGTTATAGCTGCTGAGATAAGATTATTTTGGCTTCTATTATCTTGAATCCAATCTTAAGCCTTCAATACATTGTTTTTTCTCTTTAAAATTCTCTCCCTTATACAATAATCTCAAATAAGCCCAAATACTAGTAATACATATTCAATTTTATCAATTAAAAATCAAGTGCTAATTTAAAAATACAGAACCTACCACTCTAATAAATTCAAACATCTCTATTATGGCAGAGTTCATCAGATTGTAGCGGGATCCATTGTTGAGAAATGCTTTGACAACTGGTTCAAACAGAAAACTTTTCATTATGTAGCGGTTGTAAAATTCATCTTTCAATCCAATAATCTTTCTCTTAAAACGAAGGGCACCTGAAACACAGAGGCACTGGTGTTTAAGTCACATACCGCATGTATATATTTTAGACTTACTATCAAACCAAACATAACCCTGTTTAACAAACATCAAGTCTTCGTGCATAGTGATATGTTAGCACTTCCAGAAATGTGAACCTAAAGATAAGGATTATAAAAGTGTTATCAGAAAAATGTATCCTAAAAGTAGTGTAAGTCATAATAGAACACAAGTCTTAGAAAGCCAAAACAAATTCTGGAAATGACCAGAATGTACTTTATATCTCAAATAAGAGCTGACATGAGTGAGCCTAACGTACTACCTACAATGAAAAAATTCCACATATTCTTTTATATATACCTTAAAATACTAAAAATTGCTTTATTAGGGCAATCCACAGTGCAATTTAATCCTCAATATTTTTAGACATGCTATTTTGCATCATAGTTCATGGATTTACATTGATTTGTCGATGTGGTTGCAGAAATGCTATAAACCCACAAAAATCTGCATGACCCAAAATTTGCCTTCCCACAGTTTAGAAATAAATTTAGAGACTGTTGTTTAAAATGTGGTCCTGTGTGCTTATTGCAGCGAGTATGCTTTTTAATTTTTTCCTAGTTTTCCTTTTTATAATTAGGCTTTAACTTACAGATTCTAAAGTATATTTATATCTTGAGGTATGGGGAGTTACTTAAGTCACCATTCGTCAAGATACAAATATACTCAGTCAGCTAGACTTCAGCAAAGCCCTCTTTACCTAAGTGAAATGATCAGTAAGTTAATGCCCCAGTTGCTGTAAACAGTTCAAAAAAGCATACTCACTTCATGCAGTCACATCGTCTTCGGTTGGCAAGATTAAATATTGTGTTTGTATTTTGATTTCTTTGGAGATCATGGAAGTGGCTCGTTAAATTGCCAATTTGTTATTAATCAAGTCCTTCATGAGCGGGTAGCCAGGCAACCATGCTGACACGGTTTCTGGGTGGGAAGGCAGAGTAAAGCAGCTCAATTTTTCTTTAGTTGGCAGAAAAGAGGTCCACAAGTGAATGCCCAATTAGGTACAGTTGATCATAAACTGCCGAACAGTACAAATGATGAAGAGTGTATCTTCCTAAAGAAACACTCTGGGCAGGGAGTTTCCAAGTAGTTTATAGAATAATTCTTGCATTTTATTTTTTAAATTCCTGAATATTTTTAAAAACATAGCATGGTGAAATAAGACATTTTAAACAATAAGAGGCATCTTTCTGTGTGGTAAGTCAAAGCCTAACAAGGGTTTATTACCCAAAACAGTATTTGCAGGTTTTTTTTTTTTTTTTTAAATGTTAATTGGCAAGGGAACTTAGTGAGGCAGTTCCATTTGCTGGAATGAAAATACTTTAGCGCTTCTGCTAGGAGGTCAATGTTAATCTCTTAGTGATTCTAGCAGAACTCCTTTTAGGAACCGGGGCTCCAGTGCTGCAGGCTTTGTAGACTTGTGTCCTACCATGGCACACCCAGGACCCCACTGGTCTGCATATCATTCCTTGGTGAGTGAAACTCCCTTCCTGGAATTCACTAAGACCAGGGCACACAGACAGTGCTATGGCCTTCAAGCACCTCTACCCAGAAACAGCTGGCAGAGGGCGGTGCCCATGGCCTCCTGCTTTGACTGCATTTCCATCTGCCCTCACATGTGTATTTCAAGAATGCTGTGTGATTTCCACTCAAGCCCAACCCTGGAAAGAAGCCTGCATCAAAAATCTCCAACCTCTGTTCTTTGCTGTTGAATATAAAGTTGCTTTCAACACTTTACCAGTGAGCTCTACGATGGCAAATCACTCAAAGGAGATTAGAGAACTCTTTCGAGACAGGCCAGATCGGCAAAACCACTGGATTTTCAATGTAAAGCACACTGCATACACTCACATCTCTAACCTTCATTCACATGCCAGGGACCTTCTTGTGCTTAGTTCAATCATCTCTTAAAAAACTCATTTGGCCTTACCTTACACAACATGAGATTTCATACAATAAGTCTACAATTTTTTGCCTTGTACGTAACTAATAAGAGCTGAATAAAAGCTTATTTCATTCTTTTCAAAGATATTCATATTTTAAACAAAAATAACAAAAAAACCAAACAACATAAAAGTATGATATAAGAGGCTACAATGTAAGATCCAAGGATCTTGAAAAGGCCAAGGAAATAGACTGAACTGGTAACTAACTTGTAAAGACTGAGTTTAGTTGATTAGTTGTCTATAAATATGACAAAGTATACCAATTAAGAAGCAGCAGATTTTAAAATAACTGACTGGATGCAGTGGCTCACACCTGTAATCCCAGTACTTTGGGAGGCCGAGGCGAGAGGATTGCCGGAGCCCAGGAGTATGAGACCAGCACGGACAACATGGCGAGACCTCATTTCTACAAAAACCAAATCAGCCAGGTATGGTGGCGTGCACCTATATCCCATCTACTTGGGAGACTGAGGTGGAAGGATCGCCTGAGCCCAGGAGGTTGAGGCTACAGTAGCCATGACTGTGCTACTGCACTACAGCCTGGGTGACAGAGTGAGACTCCAACTCAAAAAAATAAAAAAAAGCTCCACAAAGCTGGGCTCGGTGGCTCAGCCTGTAATCCTGCGCTTTGGGAGGCTGAGGTGAGTGAATTGTCTAAGCCTGCGGGTTTGAGACCTGCCTGGGCAACTTGGCGAGACCTCATCACTACAATAAATCAAAAATTAGCCAGGCATGGTAGCGCGCGCCTGTAGTTCCAGCTACTTGGAAAGCTGAGGCGGAAGGATCACTGGAGCCCAGCAGGTCAAGGCTGAGGTGGCCGGGGGCATGCCACTGCACTCCAGTCTGGGCGACGAAGTGAGACTCCAACTCAAAAAAAAAAAAAAAAAAAAAGCTCCACAAATCCCCCGTTTACATTTCACCACTCATTATTTACACATGTGCACCTAAACTTAAATATTTATAAAACCCTCCCTTAAAAAACATTATACATAATACTTTATTTCAAAGTATAGTTTTCCTAGAAGAACCATAAGTATCTGAAGCTTCTCCAAATTTATATTTAGTTCTTAGAAATCTCTGCTAGCAGGCCGGGCGCAGTGGCTCAAGCCTGTAATCCCAGCACTTTGGGATACCAAGGTGAGAGGACTGCCTGAGTCCACAGGTTCGAGACCAGCCTGGGCAATTTGGCAAGACATCATCTCTACAATAAATCAAAAAATTAGCCGGGCGTAGAGGCGCACGCCTGTAGTTCTGGTCACTTGGAAGGCTGAGGCAGAAAGATAGCCTGCGCCCAGGAGTTCAACACTGGGGTGGCTGTGAGTATGCCACTGTACTCCAGCCTGGGCAACAGAGTGAGACTCCAACTCCAGAAAAAATAAATCTCTGATAACAACAACTACTCTGTCCTGCAAAGCCAGTCCTAAAGGCATGTTCCTAATAACTGGTATCCTCTTTAAGAGACACTCCTACTTTCAACCCTGGGAAGAAAGGCGAACCCAGAAGTCACTTACGAGTTCTGATTAGTGATAATCTGAGTCAGTTTGGAAAATATCAACAATAATAAAACATAACTAAGGTTTTGCTAGTGTACTTAGTTTCTGACACCGTAACTTTCATTGATCTGTCATGATTCTCTCCACAGTTGGCAAGAGATTAGGAGAAACTGTCCTCACAAAACTGCAAGTAAAATAATGCAATGAGGAACTGAACTAGAAAAAAGTCCTCGCCATTGAGCGGCCTACCATCTTGACACTGTCCCTGGACTGGTGTCCTAACTGCAGGAAACGTGCTTACCTCACTTTTCCACACTTAACACCTGCTTGCGTATTCAACTGAGAACGCCACACTCTCCCATAACCAAGACATGACTGAAGTTACAACTGTCTTGTGAATGTTCCTGAACAGCCTCATTAAGTTAGAATACATTATCTCCACTATGCTTCCAATCACACCTTAATATAGAGCTTGTACGTTGCATATGACTTTCACATGATTCCTAATAAGCATTCCCTGGACAGCAGAGTCCAAGGTCTCCCTCATCTTCATTTTTCTTGTATAACAGGTATGTATCATACCAAATCAAATAGAAGATGCCGCTGATTGCAAAAAACTTTTTTTCTAAAACTAAGGAAACAAAAGGAATCAGCAAAGTGAACTACCAATTATAATAACATGCCATTAATTTTAAGACTCACCTTGATTTCAGAGATGATAAATGTATAAAAGGCACATTTCAGAATCAATGATAATATGGTAGTAGATTTTAAGTGTATTTATTGAGCAAAATTGCTTAAACTTACTCATTTATTGGGTTTTTCCATTCTGTCCCATCTGTTCACACCCCCTTCCCACACTTAAACAAAACTGTCTACTTTGACATGAAAGAATAATTCAGTTATAAACCTCCTTTAAACTTAACTTTGGTGCTCTCACTTTTACTGCGGTAGCTATATATGAGGAAAACAAATACAAGGTGTCACCTGATAGAAAGTTTAATAAATTTCTTTAAGAAGGAAACAATGGTTTTTATAGTTTATAAATTTTAAATAAAATTTAAACTTATAGTTGTTTTAATAATCTATAACTTTAAAATTTAAGGATATTTAAACCAATTAAGTAAAACAATAATTAGAAATGAAGTAAATAAAAGATAGCAAAAATGGAGTATGTATGTTTAGGCCTCTAATTAGTGGGTGACTATGATGCCTCAAAATAACAACACACCCCCAAACTTACCTTTAAAACCAAAAGGCAAAAGTTAGTTGTTGAACTTCTAGGGTACCTCTAACTGCGGTCTAACAAATTACCAGTAAAGACAATTTAGTTATAAAAACTCATGACCTAAGAAGCCTGGCTGCTGCATGATTAAGAACATTCTGGATTAATCTATTTCCAATTTCTCAGAATCTTGTTTTACTCCAACAAACTAGAGTCTTAAGAATACTGTAAGTTAGTTTTTGAAAAATGTGTGTCTAAGAATAGTCTTTTTAAAAGTCTGCTGTTTTCAAAGAGTGTGTAAGCTTTTCCCATAAAGATCCACCTAGAACATATTTTAGGCTTTGGGGGCAACACGTGGTCTCTGTAGCACATTCGTTTTTCTCTTTTTTAGGCCACCTTTTAAAAACATAAAAAACATTTTTCAGCTTCTAGGTTGTACATAAATAGGGCACAGGCTATTTTTCTGGTCATGGCTGTAGCTTGCCACCCCTATTCTAAAATAACTGAGGTGAAATGATCAAAGGTGCTATGTAATAATGGAATATAACACTGCAGATACACAACTTTGCCGTACACTGAAAGAGTCAGGAAAATCATCTGCTCAATGTGGCAATCACCTCATCAGTGGCAGAGTCAGGACTAGGGTCTAGGTCTCCTGATCTATGATCAGTGTGACTTTTTCTTTCAGGTAATATGATCTAAAGACACCACCAACATGACACTACATAAAGTTAGTAAATAGTTCTATCAGAAGCAACACTTACACAAAGCCAGGAAAGCATGCTTTGAGGCCATGAGGACCAGCACTCTCCGGAGGATATCCTTATTGATAATGTAGTTCTTTATATGGTAGGTATGGTGCTCCACACAAAATGTTAACAATTCCAACACAAGTGCCAACAGCTGGGCAGTTTGGAAATCATCTAAAAAAAACCAAAACACAATTCTACTTAATGACAACATGCTTTTCCTCCTCAAATGTAAGAACTCAAATTCTAATCAAGTGAAGTCCCTTGTTCTAGTAACTCAAATATTTTAACTTCAGGAGGAGGGCACTAATATTTATTGAATGCCTACCATGTGCCAGGAACTGTACTTTACAGTTTTTCTTATTTAATTAAAAAACCCTGTGAAAAACGATTTCCACAATATTATGAGTCTATTAACCAACTAGACCTGAGTCAGAAGAGTTAGTGAGGCAGCTAAGATGCAAATCTAGAAGATCTGCTTTACTCCAAAATTCGAGAGCCATCTACCAAGTGTCCCCACTAGATGCACACTCAGTACAGGAGGGTCTGCCCTCCAGCACATCATCTCCAATGCATCACTTTCTTCCTGCTCTTGATTCCAGGATGCCTTGTGACCCTACTTTACGACTCGTAATGAGTCCACACGGAATTATAATCACTGCCTTGTCTTTGTTCCTCACCAGGCAGCAAACCTCTGAAAGGGTCACTCCCCACCATCCTCGTTTAGACCTACAGATTATACTTCAGAGTCCTTCCACACACTGAGTTCTCAATAAACACTGGGTGAATTGACCGTGTGATTGGGGAAGAAGCCTCAAGCTCTCCCCACTGTGAATGAAGTAGGCAGGAAGAACAGATATTCCTATTTCAAGAACTTGATTCCAGAGTAACCCAAAAAAGGAAGGAAAAAAAAAGGAGTTTAACATGTATTTTATGGACATGTATAAGTTAAATGTACTACATTGAGAATTCATGACAAAATGTTCTTGTTCCTAGAGCTTCAAGAAGGAATTTCCCAATGGAGACCTTAAAACTATTTCCTAAATTAAACACACATACACAAAAGTTAAAGCCCTAAGGAATAACATGCAAAATAACAAATCCTAACATATCCTCAATGTAAATAAAAATAGCTTAATATTGAGCAAATAACTTAGCTCTCCATCTACACACCTGGAGTCTGAATAATTAAAAATATTTTTCATAGCTACTGTCTTCTATTTATTTCACTTGTGTAAATGCAGACTAAATACAAATATTATTTAACAAAAAATTGCTTTAAAATTCTTAAAGCAACAAATAATCCTCATTTTTGCATGCTTCTGTTATCTGATTATAGCACTTTTAAAGAAATTTTATGACGAACATCTCTCTTTAAAATACATTATTAATACTCCAGCTTGCTTTTGATTAAAAAAAAAAAATTATTAAGACCTCAATGAACTTTTGAAGACTGCTACTTTTTTTAAGGTGTGTCCTGTCACCCCACCCCGCCCCCACCCTCTGCCTCCCCTGCTGCCTCCTATAAAAACTGTTATTTAACATCAATGTTGAATTCAAAAACAGAGAACCTAACTACCAACCTGCACGATCTTACCTTTACTAGGCTTGTCTTCTGTTGTATTTGCCAGCAAGGGGGCAGTAAGAACATGCATACAGTGCTTGTAGAAGAAACCCAGAAATTCTGTCTTTTCTGTTTTCTAAGGAATCAAAAATACATCCATGAACTTTAACTGTACTGGTTCCTAGCAGCAATCAACAACATGCTGGTCATCAGAAAGAGGAAAGGTACCCGTGGCTTACATTGGCAGTAGCCAGCATGTTCTCAGGGTCCACTAAAGTTCGAAGCAGGCCCATGAGCTGGACTGCTCCTCCAAGTTCAGGGTCTGTGTCACAAATCATATGCTCTATGATGAGGTTGATGAGCAAAATGTCCTGATGAGAAAAACAGACACTAAGGCTCACTTGTGACCAGACAGAACAGAGAAAGCATGAACTAAGACATGCACTGCACGTTACTCCTGGCTCTAGCTGTCTTGCTAACTGCAAACAAAACTAAATGATTGGCTCATTTACTTGAGGGGACACATGACAGTGTTTCTTTCCCTGAAGTGTGGTGCAGGACATTATACTGAAGAGCACTGAAAATAATTTTATTTTCTTTTATCTTTAAATTTCACTTAACAAAGTTTCCGTGTGATCCTAATAGATCTTTACATCTCTCTCATAATGTGGCTTAACTTTTGAAGAAAGCCCCTGGCCTTTGGGTCCATAGCTTTAACAGCAAGAACACTGGGCTATGATAAAATCATTCTACTTCCATTGCATTTATTTTCCTTCTATTTATGGTAAATGATAACTGTTCTCCATTTGTGGATATAATAGAGGTGTTTTTTAAAAAATAAATTTAGGAAAAAATTAGATGGTATCTAAATGTCTGAAATTGGGGGAAATGAAACTATGATACTTAGAGAACACAGAACAACTAATCAATTATACAGATTCCAAATGCCATGGAAAACAAATTGCTGGTTTTCCTAAAGCTCTGTTATGACTGGCATCACCGGCCCAAGGAGTAAATAAAAACTGAGAAGGATTAAGGGAAAAGATTCAGCTCTTGCCTACACACATGCAAAGGCAGAGTGCACAAGGGTGGAAAAGGAGACGGCGTGCAGAAACAATGGTCAGGAGTGGGAGGCTAGTATCCTCCTGCATGTGAGTAAAGTATTTTGAGGTGTATCAACAGGTGTGCAACTAGTGGTTATGGGGGTCAACAAGAATCACCTTTATTTTCAAGAATACAGATATTTGGTTCTCAAGAGGACATTTTTATTATTTTTTTAAACATTTGTTTTTTTTTTTTTAAAAAGAGACTGTATTTTGCTCTATCACCCAGGCTAGAATGCAGTAATCATAGCTCACTGCTTTGAATCCCTGGGCTCAAGCAATCCTCCTGCTTCAGCCTCCTGAGTAGCTGGGACTACAGGTACACACCACTACACCCAACTAATTTTTTTGAAACAGGGTCTCACTATTGTTGCCCAGACTAATAGGACTGCTTTATAAAAGAAAAACATGACTTAACATTCAACAGTTCAAATTGGTACTGTTTTGCAACTACCCTGGCACTATAATTTAAAAATAAAACCTTAAATTTAGAAGTTACTAGACATTCCACTTCATTTTGACAATATAACACATTAAATAGGATCTTTTCAAAAAGTAAGTCTTTTTCTCATGTTGTAAAAAATACTAGAGACTGAAATTCTACACAGATGTTTTCTGTATCCTTTTCCCCCCATCCTCCCTTAAGGAGGAGTTGAGGGCAGTGTCTTTTTTTTTTTGGAATCAGAGTCTCACTCTGTCACCTAGGCTGGAGTGCAGTGTCACGATCACAGCTACTGCCTCCTCAACCTATGGAGCTCAGGCAATCCCTTTGCCTAAGCCTTCCAAGTAACTAGGACTATAGGCACACAACACCACACCTAATTTTTTGATTTACTGTAGAGATGCGGTCTCGCCAAGTTGCCCTGGATGGTCTCGAATTCCTAGGCTCAGGCAATCCTCTCACCTCAGTCTCCCCAAATGCTGGGATTACAGGTGTGAGCCACCACACACGGCTATTCTTAAGTAAAGTTACTGCCAAAATGTTATGGGAAAAGCAGGAAAATCAGAATCACTGGTTCAATTATCTGACAATAATGCAGAAGTGCACATACAACCAGGGTCCATGTGTGCCACACACCACAGGTCCCAAAATGCCCTCCTCTTAACCAGCTGAAGTATCTCAGGTACTCTGCCACCAAGGGGTCTACTGTGGTTTCCCCTCAATGCTGGAGTGTGTGTGAACAAGACAACAACTTGTTCTCTACACAATAAAGAAACAGCACCCTAAATACTTTTCAAAGGACTGCTTCATTTCCTCATTCTTGATAATTTTAAGAATCTACCCCTAGCAAAGTCAATGTTTTCCCAGGGAAGTTACTCATAATTGCATAGATAGAAGAACAATTGATTGATTAAATGATTTAAGAAAACACAGCAAGCTAACTTCAGAATTAAAAGGAAATCTGATGCCCACATTTTTAAAAGAAATTTAAATTGAACATTAGCAAATAATTGCTGTAGGACAATACATTTATAAACTGAAACAGGAGCCAATTTAGAGGAAGAATAAGCTCTTTGATACTATGGCTACATATTTCCCAAACAGCAACGACCTAAATCTTAGGAGTGTGTAATAAACACAGTTACAGCTTCCTATGTAGAAATACTTACTGCGAATGCAAATAATATTTACCTTGCTGGTTATTTTTTGCTCTGTTAACTTCTTACTTACATCATCATTCTGTTGTGCCTCCTGCATGACAAACTCTCGTACCATGGATGGATTATATTCAACCAAGTATGAGAAAATATCAGTAGCTGCACTTCGCACCTGCGTATCATCCATGCCCTGCAGATAAGAAGCACTTATTTCTCCTATAATTGCAACTATATGAGACTTACAAAACAAAAGAAAAAACATTCTAATATAAAAGAAAGGTTAAGGAAATTCTGCAAGAAAAACATTGTTTTATGGATAAAATTATACTTTCTAAACCCTGTATTGCTATTTGTCTTTCTGTTTTAACATTTCATCTAATAAGCTGCAAAGCTGACAAATCAGTATGAAAAATTCCTCTAACTGCATTCTTTCAATACTGTGTAAAAATATGAAAGGAATTTTATAGCTTCTTTAACATAATTTAATATATAAGTAACATTAAATATTGGCTATAATCAAATACTTCACATTACATAAAAATATTATTTCTGTGGTTTAAAAAGAGTTAATTAAAAGCAAAAAGAAACAAACTTACAAGGATGACTTCTAAAGCTGGTAATATGCCCATGTTTGACAAAGTCTTGAAAAAAGCATCTCTGTTTTGAGGTTGTAGGGTTTGGGAAAATGCACAAAATTCTTTTAAAAAGTTAACCTGAAATTAGGAATAAGGATAAGTAAATATAAAAAAACTGTTGTTTTATTTGTATGCCTTTCTTAATCTCTAATTTCTTACCAATTCCTGTCTTTTTTCCTCATCTGTTGCTTCATCTGTTAGCTGTGCAAACAAATCTGTCAGAAATTTTTCATCTTCCTGTGAAATAAAGGACAAGTGTAATTGCATTAATAAGTGAAATAAAATATAATTTCAGGATGTTAAAACATAATCAGCAATAGCTAGAAAAAAGCAAAGCTGGTACTGGCAATGTTGTTTTGTAAAAGAGAAGGAAAAACAAACTGCGGAAGGGTTAACTTTTGGCAAAGTGATTTCTTCTGCCTATTTAAGGGTCAGATGATAAATATTGTGGGCTTTGCAGGTGGTGTGGTTTCGGCACTACAACTCCTCGGCTCTCTCTTACAGTATGAACAGTCACACAACATGGAGATGAATGAGTATGTGTTCCAATAATAGGCATGGGCCACAATTTGCTGACCCCTCATTTTTAAGGGTTTTATTACCTTAAAAGTTAAGGTTCTACAACCTCTCAAATGAGAATGAAAATAAAGATAAAGTTTTCTTCATGTTTTAAAGACACAGAAAAATGACTCAATTATTTAAAAAACTAAATTCAGAGCTTTTAAAGAAGCTTATTTGAAGACATCACATACACAGTAATATATGTTAAACTGTTTTGAAAAGGATCCAAAGAATACCCAGAAAGGATATTATTAACCAAGACAAGTCACAGAAGTAGAGAGCTTGAAAAGAACTTCCAATGTTATCTTATTCCCTGATTTTGTAACTGAGACTGAGCCTAAAGAATTAACAGGTAGTAGAGCCTTTCTGACTGCCCATTCATATTTTTCTCATTACTTGGAAGACAGTACCTTCCAGTCCGATTTGTTTCATTTTAATTACATCCAACCTCAGCTGGTAGCAGTAGATTCAATACTGCTGTCTATGGCCCTAGACACACCGAAGTCTATACACACACACACATGTACAGGTGTATTCAACCTCTCACTATAGCTCACTATAGCTCCACTGCTGTGGGTGCTTGGAAAATATTTTCTGTGTGACATTCAATTAGCTTGGTTATTCCCACCGTTACTTTCTCTGAAATGTACAAACAGGTCACACCTCATTACACATAATCTTGTTTGTTACCATATGGCATTCAGTTTCAAGATATATCCCAGATATAATAAGGTCTACTAGCTGGAAATCAAATGGTTAAAAAAAGAAATTCTCTGAATTGATGCAGTTGGGGTCCAGAAGCAGACCGAAGGAGAGTGTTGAGCAGTGTCACAGAGGAGCAGTGTCAGTGGCAAAAGGGGGTGATGCTGGGTGTCTGCACAGGATGGGCAGAAACCTGCCTTACACAATAACTCAATCATTCCTTGCCACAACATGTGTGACACACTCCTGCCTTCACAGCAGCACTTGAGACATAAGTACCCGGCAACAAGAGAAACATGACGACAGCACTGGCCGCCAACATTTGCAGAGAGGAAAAGACTTAGCAATTTGAAATTATTCATACTTAATGGGTAAAACTGGCATTTCACATGTATGAAGACCAAGAAAACACAGAAGTAACAAATCCTCACATAACAAAAACAGAACCATACGGAACTAAAAAAAAAAAAAGATCAGAGAACTCAAGACGAGCCAAGGAAACCAGGCTCAAAGTTGGACCAGAACAGAGGGCTCTGCTAGCTAGCAGGAACTAGTTCCTCATCAAAAGTAAACAGAAACCAGTACCAGAACCCACTCCCTCCTCCATGACCAAATGCAGTGCATCATATCCAGGACGACTACTGCATCTACCAGACGGTCCTGCCCCCATCACTTATCTACACGCCTATCTCTAATGGAAAACAAGTCACATTAGCCAACAGGAACTGGAATTATTACTAGCTTTTAGAGAGCAGCTGTAGGTAAAACTGATTTTTCAATTTGAACTCATACATTTTTTTTTTAACTCAAGCTTTTTTTAAAAAAGGTGGCAAGACAATGAATCTGGAAATACAGAAATTTTCTGAAAAGGAACAGATGTGGAGATTAAACACACTGCTGCACTTGTACTGGATACCACCAGGCAGCCCCTGCTGAAATGACCACCTCCTTTCTAGATTAGCAAAGGGAGGTTTCAAGTAATTCCTTCACTTGCAGGCCTGAGGTAAAGTCTTGCAAGTCATATCACATTATCTATTATTCTTACAATATCACAGGCATCAAAGAAACAAACATGAAGGAGGTGTTCAAATAACCAATCTTCTTTGCACTAAGTAAACTTCCATGTCAGTTAGAATAGGCAGATCCACACACTATGGGATGATACAGTGAGAGGTTTCCTAACTCTGGGGATGTTACCATGCAGATTATTACCACAGACTTTGATTCTGTGTTTTGTGCAGAACCCAGGAAACTGAGATACAAGGATCCTAAAACAAGAGACCTGCAATACTGGGCATACTATAAAAAACAATTTGGCGTTTAATAAGTAATACCTCAATAGACACTTGCAGAAATGCTCCCAAGTCTTACATAACATTAACTACTTCACATGCATGATTTCACCCCATCTTCAGACAACTTTATAGAGGAGGCACTAGTGTCGCCATCCTTCAGATGGGGAAACTGAAGCCTGAGGAGGTCACAAGCTGCCCACGTCATAGTCATTGAGAGTTATTAAGTGGCCAACAGCACTGAAACACAAATTCACATCTGCCTAACTTTCCCACAGGCACCCCCACTACAACAACGTGCCTTTTGGTGGGATACACACAATTCTAATTCGCCTCCTCTGTACCTTCCCTTGGCAAAACTGGGCCTTCAGTGTATCATTACCTGGGACTGTTACACATTCTACAGAACCCAGATTCTATATTTAATGACATATCTCTTGGTTTCCCTGTTTTCTCCTTCTTCCAGTCTGTTTTACTCTATGCATAATTTGTAATTAATAACTCTTAAATTTGACTCAGTCATTTCCTCAGTATCACTCCACTGTAATTTCATCAGGCCAGGTTTCTTTACTACACTCACCTTCCCTGTCCCAAACATAACCACCTGTAATCTCATGGTACACTGTCTATTATAATCTCTTGTAGCATCACCAGAACACTTAGTTGTTAAATGCTACCCATCAAGCAGGGCATCTTCTGATGTAGGAGAAAAGGAAGGAGCTGACTCACCTGTAACATACCAACAATTTCTACCTTATTGAAGAAGATAAAGGAGTGAAGCGTTGACAGCATGTTTTCCTCAAAGACCGAAGGGGTGGGGAGAACCATGTCTTGGATGTACTGGACTCTGTAGGTCTGGTGAATTTTTTGTTTCAGCTCAGGATCTGATATGGGAATCACTTCTTTGAACTTGGCAGTTTTTGTTAGAAATTCCCTGTGTTTTCGTGGTTGTGATAAAGCAGGGTCATATTCTAAACATCCAATGACGTCCATTATACATTCCTCAGAGAACATAACTTCGAAAAGAGCAGTTCGATTCAAGAGGAAGATGCCCTTGATAATTTCATACAAGTGGTGCAGTCCTTCAATGTTTTCTAAATCCTCACACACATGGAAGAGCTCCAGGAGCTTTTTAATGTAACCCTCATTTTCCAGTGCCAATGCAAGTTTTTCACGACGAAGGGGCGAAGGTAAAGATGATGCCACAAGCTCTGCAATTTCCTCGAGGCGACTTAATTCACAAGACGGCAACTCCAGACCTGGCGACGACATGTCGTCAAAACGCTCCTCTTCAGATTCATCCACAAGATCCTGAGTGATGTCCACTGAAGGGTCCTTTCCTTGAACCTATGAAAAAAATGTGTAATAGCTGACAAAATATAAACCAGCCAACCTGAAATGATTTTCTAAGAGAAGAACAAAAGCCATTATAAGAAAACTATTAACATAATTTTCAAGTTTAAGACTCTTTTTTCAAAGACAAAATCGTCTACTTTTCTAAGATACATTTCTCCAAATAACACACACTTTCAATTTTACTGAAGTTAATTCAAAGTTCAAAGATGGGGCCAGACATAGTGGTTCACGCCTGTCCTATGATTCCAGCACTTTGGGAGGCCAGAAGTTTGTGACTAGCCTGGGTAACATTGTGAGATCTAATCTCCACAAAAATTTTTAAAAATTAGCCAGGTATGGTGGTGCACACCTATAGTCATAACTACTTCGGAGACTAAGGCAGGAGGATCACTTGAGCCCAGGAGTGTGGAGCTGTAGTGAGCTATGATCATACCACTGCACTCGAGCCTAGGCAACAGAGCAACACCCCATCTTAAAAAAACAAAATCACAACAAAGTTCAAAAAAATGGAACAAGTTTCCTCATAAAGTACAAAGTTTGCGACAACAACAATTTTCTAGGACAGGATAACCCAACTGAGGCTGTGATGAAGAACCCCCTGCAGACCCACAAGTAGTACCTGATGCTAAAACACCCCCCCCAATCTCATATCCCTGGCCCTCCTTTCCAGCAGACCAGAGCACATCTCAGCAATAGGCCTAGGACTGGGCTACAGGATAGGTACCACCAAGCTCTTCAATGTTTAACTCTGAAGTAAAGTTCAAATAAATATTAAATATCATAATGCTACAAATAGCTATGTATAGATATTGTCAAATGATTCTACAAATCAAGGACCAAAGAGTCTGACCAAATTGGTTTGGGACCACACTGGGGCACGATTTGCTCTAAATCCTAGATGGCAGCCCCAAAACAAATGATTTTTAAAAACCTGGGTATAATACAAGTGCATCTACACAAAAACAAAGGCACCTATAAAGGAAATGCAACCTGTGTAGAGTGGAGCTATCCCCCAAGATCACCTGCTTAAAGTAACCAAACTATGAAGAGGTTTTCCTTTCTACACACCCTAACCTGTAGCTTTCATGATCTTCCAGAAGCCCTAAAATCTGTTATAAAACCCAAAGTCACTGTAGGGGCTCTAATTGTAAAAAGGTAACTTACATTATTACATACATTCTCAAGTAAAAGTTTTTGTTTGTTTTTAAACAAAGGGTCAAGAACAGATTTTGAACTAAAACAGGTTTTGCTATCTTGGCCCTAGAATTTGGGACACTGTATGCAGTCCCACAAGCTAAGCAGAATGGCAAAAGGATGGAAAAATTAAGCCATATTTGATATAGCCAAGAACTATAAACTATGTAGCATAATTAAAAGATATTGCTGATGGACACTGGAAGAAAAGCGGTCCTGAAATATTGGTTGAAATACGCTGCAAGGTGATATGGTCTTGACCTCAGCCAAGGAGCAGCACCACTAAAAGGAGGCGAGGCACACTCACAGCATATACCTGGCACGGTCTCTCATGCTGGCTCTAGATTTATAAGTTAAAGAAGTTCTCATTACAGCTTTGAGTTCCTAATACCCAAACTATGATTCTGCCCACAGAAGAACAGTGAACTTGGCTTAGTAACCAAATGAAAAGTGATAAGCGCCCCAACTGTAATGAGAATGCCACCTTCTCAAGTTTCGACAAAAATGGTGAATACAAGCCGGGCTCGGTGGCTCAGCCTGTAATCCCGCGCCTTTGGGAGGCTGAGGTGAATGGATTGCCTGAGCCCGCAGGTTCGAGACCCGCCTGGGCAGCGAGACCTCATCTCTACAATAAATCAAAAAATCAGCCGGGCATGGTAGTGCATGCCTGTAATTCCGGCTACTTGGAAGGCTGAGGTGGATGGATCGCTAGAGCCCAGCAGGTCGAGGCTGCGGTGGCCGGGAGCGGCCACTGCACTCCAGTCTGGGTGACAGAGTGAGACTCCAACTCAAAAAAAAAAAAAAACACCAAACAAAAATGATGAATACAGTTCAAGAAACAGATCTCAGAGAGCAAAATGTCGTGACTGCCCTAGAATGAGCCAGGGTCCAGAAAATGACTACAAGTAGACAGAACTCATAAAGAATGAGAAGTGACGCCAGGAACATAAACTCTATGAAAATCAGAGGTACCAGAAAACAACAGTGAGCACTGCTGTTCAGAAGGCCGTGTGTAGCACGGGACCATGCAGCTCAGTAGAATGGGGAGGAGGGCAAGATCTGCCTGGATAGGGGAGGTTTTGAGCACAGCCTGAACTCATCGCCCTCCTGTTTCTCTGGGAGAACTCCAGTAGACAAGTCCAAAGAAATGTGTTATAAAAACTGCTACCGGACAGAGAGCAAAGAAAACCAGAAAGCTGGCACTCAGATGCAGTCAGTCTCTCATGTTTAGAGACAAACAAGAGCCCAACAGGCAGGTTAATTCATGAAAAACAGCTGAGTAGAACATATGGCTGAAATCTGTTAAGGAAGAACCATGCCTAAAGGACACGATAGCTGCTATGAAGGCTTTGGCTCTCAAACTTCAAGGTGCTTTCAGAATCACCAAAGCAGAGGGGGATAACCTACCACCGAATCTTGCCCACTACTTGCTTTTGGGAATAAGAGCTTTCCTAGAAGACAGCCACTCCCATGCATGTGCTGCCTATGGCTACCTTCCAGCTAGGCCAGCAGAGCTGACAGTGAGACCAAATGGTCACAAAGCCTTAAAGATGTGTTTTGCTCTTAATGGAGAAAAACGTGACCTAGAGCGCTATTTAAAACATAACTAACCCCTATCTGTCCCCATACACAAAAATTAACTCTAAATGAATCAGAGACCTAAATGTAAAACCTAAAACCATAAGAACCTTAGAAAATGCAGGACACACCCTTATGGAAATTGGAACTGGCATCCAATTCCTGAACAAAACTCGAAACCCACAGGCAATAAGAGATAAGATAGACAAGTGGGACCTCATTAAACTGACAAGCTTCTGCAAAGCCAAAGAAACCATCAAGTGAGCAGGGAGACAGCCCACAGACTGGAAAAAAGTATTTGCCAACTCCAGGTCCAAGAAAGGCTTAACATCTTCGATCTACAAGGAACTCAAATGTGCTGAAAAGAAAAAAAAAAAACAACCCCATTATAAAGTGGGCAAAAGATATGAACAGACACTTCTCAAAGGAAGACATCTGAGCAGCCAACAAACACATAAAGAAACTTCAACCTCACTAATCATCAAGGAGATGCAGATCAAAACCACATTGAGATACCACCTAACTCCAGTCAGAATGGCCATTATCAATAACTCAAAAAATAACAGTTGCTGGAGAGGGTGTGGTGAAAAGGGAACATTCCTACACTGTTGGTGGGAGTGCAAACTGGTGCAACCTCTGTGGAAAACAGTGTGGCGATTCCTAAAAGCTCTAAATAGCAGCCTCCCATATGACCCCGCAATCCCCCTACTGGGAATATACCCTGAAGAACTCAAATCACTCTATCAAAAATATACCTGCACACATATGTTTATCGCAGCATTGTTCATAATAGCAAGAACCTGGAATCAACCATACTGTCCATCAAAAGAGGACTGGATTAAAAAAATGTGGTACATATACACAATGGATTACTACGCAGCCATAAAAAAGAAAATCATGAACTTCGCAGCAACCTGGATGGAACTAGAGTCAATAATACTGAGTGACCTCTCACAGAAACAAAGATCTGAGTATCACATGTTCTCACTCATATAGCAGACCTTGAACATCCATCGTAATACTATAAAAAAAGGACTGACTGGTGGGAAACTATGGGGAATGGAGGGAAGGGAGGTGGGATTAACGGTAGTCAGTATCTGTCTGGGGACGGGGAGACACCCCTTATCAACAAGGGTGCCTGAACGAAGCATATTTGTATACCTAACCCTTAACTGTACCCCACAATATCAAAATAAAAAATATTGATTAAAAAAAAAATAACTACAGGACCCCACTCAGAGTTTTTGCTCCAGTACCCATAGGATATGTCTCTATCAGTCCACAGGTGTGCTCATGCTGTTGGCTGGAGGCTGACACTGTGAGAACCACTGACTCATGGAATCTGCTGAAGATGACTCTCCAGCTGGAATAACTGGAGGTGGAGAAAACTTCCCTAGAAAGAAATGGCCTACATGGGCCCTAACAGGAGCCAAGGGCTTCAGTCACTGGAGCACACACAGTGCACATTCACATTAGACTGTGGAGATTGTGTCACTAGAATGAGGTTCAAGAGACACAAAGGAAATTCTAAGTAAAGAAAGAACATCCAAGCTTACCTCAGAGGTAAAGGTGAAAAGGTTATCAAGACCACACTCTTCGGGGACAGGGCAAGGGTAGGTTTTCATTCAAGAGCCACCAGAGGTTACTCAACAACAAATGATGTTATGAATAGACTTGCACTTTAAAAAGATCACTCTAGTGGAGATTTGGATCTGAGAAGACCAGTCAAGAAGAGCCAATAAACCAGGCAAGGAATGACGGGAGCTCAGACAACCACAATGGTGGTAAAGTGAAGATAAGCAGATGGATCTAAGACATGTCATCGAGGTACTGATGGATGAGAGGAGGGAGGGACAAACAGGACCCACAAGTTTCTGGTTTCAAGATCTAAGTGTTAAGATTATGTCTGGTTTGAGTTGCTAGTGAATACTCAAAGAGGAGTTCTCAAGAAGGTAGTTGGGCTGGGAGTGGTGGTTCATATCTGTAATCCCAGCACTTTTGAGAGGCTAAAGTGGGAAGACCACTTGAGCCCAAGAGATCAAGACCAGTCCAGGTAACATAGCAAGACCTCATCTCTACAAAAAAACAAAAAATTAGCCCGGCGTGGTGGCATTCATCTGTAGTCCCAGCTACTTAGGAGGCTGAGGCAGAAGGACCTCCTGAGCCCAGGATGTCAAGGCTGTGGTAAACCATGATCATGCCATTGCACTCCAGCCTGGGCAACAGAGTAAGACTTTGACTCAAAAACAAACAAGCAAACAAAAGAAAAAAAAAGCAGGCAGATGGATATGAAACTCTGGAGTTCAGCAGAAGTCTGGGCTGAACAGTGTGCCATCAATAAATTATACCTTCCTTTAAATCAAACTTTTCACAGACAGCAGTGAATTAAGATCTATTTGGAATTTATTTAAATTCTTGGGTAGTCACTGAAAGCATGGCAATAAAACAAAATAAAGAAAATATGTTGATTTTCTATGTTTCAAATTACCTGACATATTTTCTCCCAAATTTCATCACATCCAGCTTTTTCTTGAAAGCTAAGGGCCAAGTCATAATTTTCTGCTTCAGACCACACAATCAGAGTGTCCTTTGGAGACAAAGAAGGCATGTGAACATATATTATCACAAACTATTTCAAAGTATAAGGCAAATGATAACAAAACAGCAGGAACTGAGTTTTTACTTTTTGCAACACTGACACCAGTAATTACCAATGTCTTTTTTAAAACAATGTCTTTTCACTTAAGGCTTCACTTTACCTAATCTCTAAAATGAAAACTATGTTTCCTTAAGTACAAGTTTAGCCAATATTTGAAAAGTACTACAAAAGCTACAAATAAAACATTCTATACTGCATCACAATGGCCCAAGGGGAAGTCTAAGGTTTAGCACAGGGGCCTGCTGAGAAGACAGGATGAACACAAGTCCTCTCTTTTTCCATGGCCAGTACACGCTGCTTCCCTAGGATTTCTGGTGTCCATGAAGCTCTTTGAAATCACTGGCTCAATCTGCATGTGTGAGCGAGCATCCACCTGGTTTTTTTGTAACACTTACCTAAGTACTATGGTTCAAGAAGCAGCAAATCCCTAGTGCCTAACTCCCTCTCACGCCTATTCAGAAAGAACTTTAACAACAGTACATTTAATAAACAGTTCAAGTTCCTGTTAACTCATTCATGATCACTGATGTGAATTTATGTCATTCCAAATTCTGCTCCTTGTTGCTGCTGGCGTCAATTTATATCTTTGCAAATTCTGTTTCTGAATGCTACAACATTGTCATATGTATGTGCTATTATATTTTGCTTGAAAATGAACAGTGAGGCAAGGAGAGAGAAACTTAATTGAGATAATTATCTGATAGCAACGTGCAACGTTGTTATTGATTTACATAGTTGGTAAAAATTGCAATTTGGTCATTATTTTGTTGCGATTAGAGTTGCATATTTGTAATTTGCTATTTCAGGGCCTTCATAAAAATAATTTCGCATGATTATGGAAAATGAAGAAATATATGCTGATGAGATTTCCAAGGTCAAAGGTGAATCCAGTGAGCTTATTAGTGATTGTGAGACGAATAGTGATGTAATAATGCAAACAAATATATATGTATATATATATACACACACATAATATATATATTCAGTTTATAATCTGAATAAGAATACAAAGTACAGAATGCTAGTCAGAGTGGTGTCTGAGGCAAATACTGAATATGTCAACTTTCAGCTGTACTGTGGAAAAGGTTACAATTTAGAAAAGACCATTTCACTTGTGCTTAATGACAGAAGTTTGTGGCAACCAGCTTCAGATTTTATTTTCACCTGCTCTCAGTATTAGAAAAGTGAAAAATTTGCCAATCACGAATGTATTAAGATGCAATCTCAGCAAGACACTGCCCAAGAATACTGAGACCATCTTACATTCCTCATGGTACAGAGTCTGTATTCTACAATATGCATGGTATATAAAAATAACTACAGAGACTAAATATGTATAAGTTCTAAGATATCCTGTCAAATTCACTGGCTGTAAATAAGCATATACACTGATAGTAATCAACCATTTATTAAAAGGGCCCTGTCACTCAGAGAGGTCTATGAATCATCTCATACAGGAGACGACAACTGGTACTAGGGAAAGGAACATTTAACGGCTATCTTCAAAATCTGAAGGGCTGTCACTCAGCATTTTTCAAGCTAGTCCAAAGAGCATTTAGGAGAATAGAAGCTGAGTTAAATGGAGTTCAGTATGACATAAATAAAAAAATAATTCAATCCAACTAATAAATAACCAGGAGGAGAGAGCATCTACCAGATGATAAAGGTTCGAGGTCAGCATAAGGTACCTTAAGGGATCTATGATTCTACTGCAGCAGTTTCCAATCCTTTTCACTAGCAAGAAGACTTGTTAATCTAACACAAATGGGTAAGCCAGGCATGACAGCGTACCCCGTAGTCCTAGCTACTCAGAAGGCTGAAGCGGGAGGTTCATGGGAGGACTACTTGAGGCCAGGAGTTGGATGCTGCAGTGTGCCATGATCGCACCTGAATAGCCACAACACTCCAGCCTGAGCAACACAGCAAGACCACATCTCTAAAAAAAAAAAAAACAAGTAAAAAGAAGCCAGGCGTGGTGGCTCATACCCAGCACTTTGGAAGACCGAGAAGAGAGGACTGCCTGAGCCCATGGGGTTCAAGACCAGCCCGGGCAACTTGGTGAGACCTTGTCACTACAATAAATCAAAAAAATTCGCTGGGAGTGGTGGTGCGTGCCTGTAGCTACTTGGAAGGCTGAGGCAGAAGGATCACTTGAGTCCAGTAGGTCGAGGCTGCGGTGCCCGTGAGTGTGTCACTGCACTCCAGCCTGGGCGACAGAGTGAGACTCCAACTCAAAAAAACAAAAGGCCAGGTGAGGTGGCTCACACCTGTAATCCCAGTACTTGGGGAGGCTAAGGCAGGAGGACTGTTTGAGCCCAGGAGTTTGAGACTAGCCTAGGCAACACAGTGAGACCTCGTCTCTATTTTAAAAATATTTCCAGGTGTGGTGATGTGTGCCTGTAGTTCCAGCAACTCGGGAGGCTAAGGCAGAAGGATCACCTGAGCTCAGGAGGTAGAGGCTGCAAAGAGCCATGACTGTGCCCAAATCAAAAAAAAAAAAAAAAAAGGAAAAGGAAAAAGTCAGGCATGGCAGCTCACACCTGTAATCCAAGTGATTTGAAAGGCCAAGGTGGGCTGATTGCTTGAGTCCAGGAGTTCGAGATCAGCCTAGGAAACACAGAGAGACCTCAACCCCCCCAAAAAGGACTGAATAAAGAATAAGCCTACAGTTCATATTCAATACAACTGTAAGCAACTGCTCTGCTATAATTGATATTCAGAATCATCTGGAGGCTGATGCCTAAGTCAAGATGTAGCCAGACTATGCTCCTAATTATCCATTTGGCAAATTTGAAAAGTTTGAAAATTTTTAGAAATTGCTCTTTCGTTTTCCTAGAAAAGTCTACACCAATCATCTTGCTTGTCATCCAACAACCTACAGGCTGAGACACAAATCTGTTCATTCTCCAAACAGGTCCACTCTTCCCTTTCTCTTAGGATGTGCCTTTACCCTTCAGCTGACTAAAACTTCAAAACATAAATTAAGTATGGAAGATCAAAGAAAACGTTCCAGTCTCCAGTTTTTCCATCAGACTTAAAAGTTGTTTTAAGAACATTAAATGCAGTAAAGTGTTAATGGACCATCAAACTATCAAGAAAATATTTTATTATATAATAATAAATTATCATATAATTTTAATGATAAATCATATAATAATACATCACCACTAAATATATTTAGGAGTTAAAACCAACTTTCCTATCCACTATTTGTGAGCTATCAAGCAAGTCAAAATCTTTAAGCATCATCTAATGGGCAAAATAAAGCCAATACTAACATCCTTCTAAGTAGTATTTTAAGGGCCAATGTTGAAGTAAAGCACTTTACAGATGGGTTAGTAATATTCTTTCTTCTAAATTAACTTTCTATCTGTATCTTCAGGGCAGTAAAGGAACTGATACTGACTTCATGGGTTGTAAAGAGCACTTGCCTTATGCGTGTGCTGAAAAAATATCACTTGATGACAGAGCTGGCTGGTTCTAAGTGAAAGATTTCAGATTTTCTTTGCATATTAGAAAGGTTTAAGAAAGACACGTGTACTCAAATTGAAGGTATCTTCAAAAACTGTAAAATGACAATAACGCCCTACTCAGTCTCTAGGAAATCAGACTCCTAGCTACACAGCGTTGCCATAAGAGGAAATTCTCATGTTCCTTCTTCACTAGCACCCACATCAGGAAAGGAAGGAATGTTCACCATTTGGTTGTCTTAGCAGCAGGCTATCACATCAATGGTAACCCTTTTCTCTTTAGGTAAAAACAAGGAAAACTTTAGAGTGCAGTTGTTATAATATCTGGAACACAAACTTAGCTTAACTTGAGGCAAGCTTTGTTTTTTTAAATGTATAATTACTGTGTTAAACACTATAGAAACTGAGAGAAACCCTATTTTAGAATTCGACTGGCAAAATATGTCATAATCTGTTCTGAATTTGCCATTGTAAGGAATCAGAAGGATAATAAGCAAGATAAAACACAACATCTTCAAAATTTTACCTGTTGTTTCTGGTATGCAGTGTTAGGATTTATTTTGGACTCCAAAAGTAGAGAACCTAAGAAACAGAACAAGATACTCCATTAAGTTACTGTAAAACAGCAAAATCAGATTCTCTTACACACACACACACACACACTCTTTCTTTTGAACATATGATCTGCATACAATTTCAGTTAAGAAAAAAGTTATGAAACAACATAAATTTAATTACAATGACTTGTAACCTGAAATGTTTGTCTTATATATGCTTGCTTAAAAAAAAAACCCAAAAAACCAGACATGATAATCTGAAGAGTGAGGACCAGAGAGTAACAGAAATCCACCAGTTTATGGGCAGCACAAGGTTGTGACACAGCAGGACGCCAGATGATCTAGGTCTCAATCTTAGATATACTATGTAACTTAGTAGGAATACTCAAAAATATGCAAATATGAATGATAACAGAATCCGATCTATGTCTCAAGACTAAGACTAAAATGAGAAATTATTTGTAAAAATTTGAAAACAAAGCATATAAGCACTATCCAAGTACATCCCCAAAATATACTTCAACCTCAGAAAGTCTCATATTTCTATTTCTTTCCTTTTTTTTTTTTTTTAAGTCAGAGTTTCACTCTGTCACCCAGGCTGGAGTGCAGTGGCACACTCACGGCTATCACAGCCTTGACCCGCTGGGTTCAGGCAATCCTTCCACCTTAGTCTTCCAAATAGCTGTAATCACAGGTACACATTACCAAACCTGGCTAATTTTCAAATTTATTGTAGAAACGAGGTCTCGCCAAGTTACCCAGGCTGGTCTCGAAACCCTCAGCCTCCCAAAGTGCTGGGATTACAGGCGTAAGTCACTGTGCCTGGTGTCTATTTCTTGACACAGGACCTGCCATGCCTTTACATCTTCAAATAATCAGTTTATCCCTTGCAGTAAGCTAATTTGCACACTGTTGTCTTTTCCTTGGCAGTCCCTAAAGACGCATGATGTTTAGAATTTAACTGTTGCTTTGTGAGGAAGAGCAAATTTTAAGACTAAAGTTACACTCCCCCCTCTCATCAACCAGTTCCAGTTTATATTAAGAGCACTACCTACAGACACACTTGGCCCCAAAAGCTTGGAAAGCAGCAGTTCCTCTGCAGCTGTCTCCCACACAGGGCTTTCATTTCTTCTCATATTAAACTCAGTTGAGTTGCTTCACCCATTCCAAGCAGTGACTAGACAGCTGAGAAGAGGATTCAACGTTTCCAAGTTTAGTCTGCTTTTACGTCAAAGTTCATTTGTTTTATGATACTGTCCAGTATCGGTGACTTACAGTCACTACTATGTGCTCAGAACAGTGCCAGTGGTATTAACTGCCAAGTAAATTCACTGAGCAGTGATGGCTCCACTTGTGAACATCCTGCGCACACATGACCTGATTAACCCAAATCTGTTTCTGATTCTTTCAGTACTTAAGGCAACTAAATTTAAACGCTCTCCATAACTTTTTCTACTTTAGAATCCCCCAACTCCATTTCCTTAGGTTTTTATTTAAAACAACAACAAACAATTTTTGGCTCATTATGCTTCAGACAAGCATTTTCACATTTAGAGAAAATTGTTTTAATTTTCTTTCTCTTTTTCTTTCTTTTTTTTTTTTTGAGTCAGAGTCTCTCTCCATCACCCAGACTGGAGTGCGGTGGCCACTTCCGGCCACCACAGCCTTGACCTGCTAGGGTCCAGCGATCCTTCCGTCTCAGCCTTCCAAGTAGCTGGAACTACAGGAGCGCGCTACCACTCCCCACTAATTTTTTGATTTATTGTAGAGATGAGGTCTCACCAAGTTGCCCAGGCGGGTCTCAAACCCACGGGCTCAGGCAATCCACTCACCTCGGCACCCCAAAGCACGGGATTACAGGCTGAGCGCCACCAAGCCCGGCCTTCTTTTTCTTTTTGAACTTTTGCCAGATTAATCTAAACAAATTTTCCAGTGTTCCTTCAAAATTCTTTAAGCACAATTGTCAGACTTTTATTTTGGTGATTATTAAGAGCTGTGATACATTCATAACAAGAAAAAGCAGTGGGCAAATCAACAGAATGCATTCAATGTCTAGAGTCCCTCAGAAGTTTTAAAGTCCCCAATTATCTCTGTAGTCTTTTATTGTTTTAACTATCAGAACAAAGTTGCACTCTATTATTTTCCATTGATATCATAAAGTATGTCAAGTATGTCAAACTTACCTTTTAAAGATCAGTTGGGGCACATAATTACACTTAAATCATGGATTCTATGAGAAAATACAAGCCAGCAAACCTACTTTGAGATACAATTCATGCCTCAAAAACAATCTATCTCTAGAAAAATACAGAAAGTAAAATAGAGTGAAGAATTGGATTACTTTATAAAATTATATTTCAGAAGATGCAAGAGGTCTAGGGGGACAGAACCAAACTAAGTAATGCCTCTTTAAAAGTGAAACTGCAGCTGGACTCGGTGGCTCAGCCTGTAATCCCTCACCTTTGGGAGGCTGAGGTGAGTGGACTGCCTGAGCCCATGGGTTTGATATCCGCCTGGACAACTTGGCGAGACCTCATATCAAAAGTGAGCCAGGCTCCAACTCAAAAAAAAAAAAAAAAAAATGTGAAACTGCACAAGGGTCAGGGATGGTGGCTCACGCCTGTAATTCTAGCACTTTGGGAGGCCCAGGCAGGCAGACTGTTTTGAGAGACCAGCCTAGGCAACGTAGCAAGATCTTGTGTCTACAAAAAAAAAAAAAAAAAAAAAAAAATTATCCAGGTATATCCAGAACAGGGAAAATCAGAGATAGAAAACAGATTAGTGGCTGCTTAGGACTGGAAGGAAGTGAAAGTGAATGGTAGTGACTGTTAATGGGCACGATTTCTTTCAGAGGGTACAGAATGTTCTAAAATTAGATTGTGGTGATGGATGCACAAACCTGCAAATATATATTTTTTAATGAAATTATACACTTTGGGTGAATTATGCAGTATGCAAAAGCTGTTTCAAAAAAGGTAAAGTTGGGGGCTGGGCTCAGTGGTTCAGCCTGTAATTCCAGCACCTCGGGAGGCCGAGGCGAGTGGATTGCCTGCGCCCGTGGCTTCACGACTAGCCAAGGCAACTTGGCGAGACCATGTCTCTACAATAAATAAAAAATTAGCTGAGCATGGTAGTGTGTGCCTGTAGTTCCAGTACTTGGAAGGCTGAGGCAGAAGGACAGCCTGAGTCCAGCAGGTCAACACTGGGGTGGCCGTAAGCATGCCACTGCACTCCAGCCTGGGCAATGGAGTGACACTCCAACAACAACAACAAAAAAGGTAAAGCTGAGAGGTGGAGTGGAGGCAGGAGAATTGCTTGAGCCCAGGAGGTTGAGACTAGCCAGGACAACATAGTGAGACCCCGTCTCTACAAAAACATTAGGCTAGGCTCAGTGGCTGAGTCTGTAATTGCAGCATCCATCCCAGCCGAGGCAAGTGATTGCCTGAGCCCACGGGTATGAGACCAGCCCAGGTAACTCGGCAAGACCTTGTTTCTACAATAAAAGTCAAAACATTAGCAGCTGGGCTCGGTGGCTCAGCCTGTAATCCCACGCCTTTGGGAGGCTGAGGTGAGTGGATTGCCTGAGCCCGCGGGTTCGAGACCCACCTGGGCAGCGAGACCTCATCTCTACAATAAATCAAAAAATCAGCCGGGCGTGGTAGCGCATGCCTGTAATTCAGGCTACTCGGACGGCTGAGGGGGAAGGATCACCGAAGCCCAGCAGGTCGAGGCTGCGGTGGCCGGGAGCAGCCACTGCACTCCAGTCTGGGCGACAAAGTGGGACTCGAACTCAAAAAAAAAAAAAAGTTAGTGGGTGCGGTAGCGTGCACCTGTAGTTTCAGCTACTTGGAAGGCTGTGGTGGAAAGATCACCAGAGCCCAGCAGGTCAACACTGGGGTGGCCATTAGCATGACACTGCACTCTAGCCTGGGTGATGGAATGAGACTCCAACTAAAAAATAAATAGCTGGGCACCGTGGGATGTGTCTGTAGTCCCAGCTACTCAGGAGACTAAGATGGGAGGATTGCTTGCGCCCCAAAGGTTGAAACTGCAGTGAGCCACGATCATGCCACTACATTCCAGTCTGCGCAACAGAGAGAAACCTTTTATCAAAAACAAAACAAACAAACAAGGTAAAGTGCAAATATTTATACAATGGAATGCCACTATCAGTTCTAATGAAGGAACCAAGCAAAAGTGTGAATGCAACATCAGGTATGAATCTTACAGACATGAGGAAGAGATGTCTAGACCGGTATACACCTTGTAATTCTACTCACATAAAGCTCACCAAGTGGCTAAACTAACCTACGGTTAGGCCAGTGGTCCTCCCTGGAGGGTACAGTGACTGGGACAGAACATGGAGAAGGCATCAAGAACGCTGTTTACGTTGTTTCTTCATCTGTGTCATTTTGTGAAAATTCATCAAGTTGGAGACTTATGATTTGTGTACCTTTTGATGTGTTACACTGCAATTTAACAACACATGGCAAAGGGGACTGAAGTGATCACTTCAAGCTGTGCTTTCAAGGAACACACACCTGACTTTGAAGCTGCTAAAACAAATGAAAAACCAGCAGTGTAGTAGTACAACATTGTTGGCTACCTAATCCCTATTAGAAATTATCTTTCAAGTATCTAGTCCCTTTTGCAGTTTCTTCAAAACCTTCTTGTAGTGTTTACAGGGTCAGGATAATTAGAGAGGGAAAAAACCGCACAAACTTGATGTGTTCCCTCCAAAAGTTCTGGCTAAAACAAGAAGCTTCTGGTGCTGGCAAGATTCTTTTTCTTGTTTTCTGGGTTATTCCCATTTCAGTCATATCCCATGGCTCTGTTCTAAGATAGCACTGTAGGAAGTCCGGCTCTGGTGACCAATACCACGTTCCTCCAAAAATAAGGAGGTTGTAGAGGCTGTAATGTGAGCAACAGCCTCTCAGACTAGGGCTAAGTAAGATAGTATATAAGACATATTACTAGTTTACTCCTGGTCCACCTCTTAGGGCTCCCATCACTCACTGGCATGGT